GGAAAGAGTAAGGGTTACGGATTCATCATTTTCCGCCACGTCGACGGAGCCATCCTTGCGCTCAAGGAGCCCAACAAGAGTATTGACGGCCGCATGACTGTCACCCAGCTTGCCGCTAATGGACCTACCGGCCCCGCAGCTCCCGCAGCTCCCGCAGCTACCGCTCCTTCCGTTCCTCCCACTACCGATGTTTCTAGGCGGAAAATCTTCGTTGGTCATGTCCCATCTGAGATGCCTTTTGAGCGTCTCCGGTCCTTCTTTAGTTCTTATGGGGAGATAGAGGAAGGGCCACTGGGTTATGACAGTCAGTCGGGCAAGTTTAAGGGCTATGCTTTGTTCATTTATAAGACAGTGGAAGGTGCTCAAGCGGCTCTTGTTGACCCTGTAAAGAATGTTGAGGGACACACCTTGCACTGTAAGCTGGCCATCGATGGGAAGAAGGGGAAACCTGGGACCGCTGTTTCTGGTTCTGGGGCTCCAGGGAAACCACTGGGAGGCATCAGAGCTGATGGCCTTGGTGATGGGCTCGGTATGGGTTCTCAGTCCTCAACACCGGGTTCCTTCTCAAGCCAGTTTGGTGGCCCTGGCGGCGGCTTATCTTCCTATGGCGGTTTCTCCGGCGGTGGCGGGTACCCTGTAGTTGCGACAGGTATCGGCCACAATCACAATCTGAACACTCCTTTGCAATCAGCTGTTGGCTTAGGAAACACGGGTTTGCCTTCAGTGGGCGGTCAGGCTCCTCCCTCACTGGCTGGTTCTGGATTTGGGGGTTATGCAGGAGGTGGTATGGGTGGTGGGCCGTATGGTTATTCATTACAGTATTCAGGCTCTGGTGGCTATGGAGGGTTGGGCACGGGCTCTTCTTTCTATCGCACGCCTGCAAGCTCTGTTGGTATGCCTACAAGCAGTTTTCCTGAGGGCGGCCCATATTCTTCTTCTTCCATGTACCAAGGTCAGCACCATCAGCCTGCAGGTTCATCTCCTGGACACCGGATTCCACCTGGTGGGGGCATGCATCACAACCTACCCCATTATTTCTAAGGTAATTGTTTTCCTCCATTTTTTTTTTTCATGTATATTTACATAGCATGCTTCATTTTTTTGATTCATTATTTAGCTGATTTTGGAATAACTTTTAGATCACCTGAATATTGGATGGTATGCTTTGTGATTACAATTGTACCATGGTTTGATGCCTTGAGGGTTGTCTGTCTCGTTTCTTTTATATATTCAATGGTACTGATTTATCTTTATATTGAAATGATTTCTTTATTTCATATGTTTGATGTCTTCATTTGTTTTCTTGACGAGAAAATTATATTTCAAACTTAGGTGTTAAAAGTTTTATATAAATTCTCATTGCTATCTTCTTGTATATATGCCACAAAGATCCATAAAATTTCAAATTATTCTGGATTCTGCTCAGGGATTGTAGCGATACTCTATTTCATTTATATTTCTCTCCAAGCATGTGTCAAACAGTATTTATACTTTTTGGTTCTTTAAATTACTTAGGTGTACTAGCTACAAAATATTGACCTGCTGCTTGTCGTTTGTGTTGCTCTAGAATAACTTGTTATATTGGTTCAGGTTTTGGTAGATTAGATTATTTTTTTTTGGAGTTTTTTCAATGATGCTAACTTTAATGTTTTGATGCATATCAGTTAGCGGGGCATTGCTTTCTATTTGTGTTTGTTTCTGAGTCTGACCTTTTTATGTGACTATTGTTCATTCTGTTATTGAAGTCATGGTTTACATTTTACTTCTTGTCATGTTTAAACCTTTTTGGGTGAAACCTTCAAACAATTAATTTCAATTTAATTTATGAAAAATTTTCTTTATAAATGCTGTATGTTTGAAGGTGAGTTGGTTTTTTTAGGGGGTAAAATAACATGTACTTTGATTTTTATCTTAACAAATTAATTCTAATGCTGTTATACTTGCAAGAGGCTTATGATTTGCGGTATGTGATGTCATTTTGTATATTGCATGCTTTTTTATTTTCTTCATGAATGGTTGTTTATATGAATATGATCGAGTTGCTAACCCGTCTTCTTCTTGTTTTTTGTTTTCTTCTTCATTCCATTGTGATTGTTGGCTTCTGGTTTAGCTTGATAGATACTAGATGTCGAGACATCACTCATTAACCTTTGGTGTTTTCTTATTCCATTGCAAACTTTGGAGTATATATGGAGGTTTCTTAGGTACCTTTCAACCATGTTGAGAAGCTTTCTTGGTTTTGAAAGTTCTATACTATTTATGGGTTTGAAGCATGCATTTGGATGTTCTTAGTTTTTTACATTCAATTGCATTTTGCTATTGTCATTGTGTATGTATGCAATATTAAAATTTATTTCTTTTTTAGTTTTTTTATGCCTTATTTGAATTTTGATCAATTTGAATAATCTTTTGTGTACGTGGATATAATTATGAAGCCATAGGTGCCTTCTTTTGTCTCCTAGGAATCTTTTTTTGGTAGGCACAACTATTTAAATTACAGTTAATCATCACTTATCTTCACAATTGTGTGCTTTGTATTATTATATTTTTACTTGCTTATATATTGGGTGTAGGGATGTATTGTATGTTTCAATAAAAGTAAAAAAAAAAGAGGTGCGTTGCCATTGGTAGTTGTCTAAACTCATTGAGTTAGATATGCTATTTTTGTGTATTTTAAACTTTAAAGGCAATGCACAAGGCAAAGTCTACAAAACTTTTCTGTTACGTGTAATTATTTATTTACTTTTTTAAAATAAAAAAGAAGAGATATAAAGATAAAAAAAGTATTTCTAAGTTATTGATATTTGATTGTTGGAGTTTTGTTGCATGGAGCATTGACATGTTAATGGGCTTTACACTCACATTCTCATGTCGATTGCCCACCTTCATATGGTTCATTGGAACTAATGAGAAAGGATTTTGACATTCAGCTATGAAAGGAAGTAATGCTTTTGTGGCCATATTTTTCAAAACTTTTACAGTTAATTATGATAAAGTGACGTGTGAACTTTTAAGCAGTGGAAATCGGAAATTTTTGCTATCAGTAAATTTTGTTTATCATTTTGGTTTTTTTCTTGTCTTATTGATAATTTATTTGATTTTTTTGATTGAGTTGTCAGGAGCTAGAATATTTGCTAAGTGTTATTTATAGTTGTTTAAGACAAGACTAGTTGATGTTAATTCAAGCATCAATGAGTAATGCAGGATGTTCAGTCAAGGCTTTCTTTTGTATATGTGGCATTCAATACTTATTTATATGTAATAAACTAATCCAACAAACATGCAATTTTTACTTGAAAATAAGCTATTATCTTATAACAATTATTTACAACTCTCACTGAAAACTAAAAATAGAAAAATCCAATGTATGTGAATTTTTCTTTTTATGTAAAATTTTAAAAAATAAGGATCTGTGATATTCACCTATGATTGAGATTTCATGCAAAAGAAGGACAATGCGATTGTAGAAGATTTGACAGAATTCATTTGTTCATTCAAAGGAAATTTATAAATGAAGAGAGGAAAAGAAAAATTGGGGAAGAAGAAACCAATAAATAAATTTCATGTTTTCTCTCGCAAAATCTTTTCAAGCTCATACTTGATGATGAAATGGAATTTCAGAAGGCGGAGAGTGCTTTGAACCTTCAAACTAAATTCTATTGAGCCATAGAAGTGTTTTTTCCCTCTAATTTATGGTCACCAAGTAGGATCAAATAGGGGACCAAAGAGCCTGCGGCAACAACTGCAGCAGAAATGGGAAATTTGAAACTGGGTTAGAAATCAGAAATATTGAAGCTGTATGAATAAGAATAGGGACAACACAACATCACCTCATGTAACCTGTTGGAATAAAAACTGTTCCTGTTACCTTAGTTGTATTTTGGTCACTGCAAAATAATTTGGCAAAAAAGCTAGGTTTAAATTTTTTCTTCGCTTTTGACCTGAAAGCTACGATTGCTGTCCTTATATTGACAATGCTTGCTTGTGCTGGTAATATGATTTGTGATGCCTTTTATTGATGCTCTAATGATAAAATATGAAATGACCAAGCAGATAGAAATTTGTTTGGTTTATGACTTAAAAAAAATTGAAAATCTTAAGTTTAAAGCTATACTTATTCATGTTTTAGCTGCTTGGCACCTTTATATGCTACAAGTGATTGGGTAGAACATGCCGCCACCTGAGTTTCTTTTGCCTTCTCTTGTATTCATTTCGAAAAAGGAATGCTTTATACCTATAGTCAACTGCTCTTTCGTAATTTCAGGTAATTTGGTGACATCATATCTTCGATTTTTTTTTTTTTTTTTGCTTGTCATTTGGTAAATTTTTTGCAATTAATTTAAAATAGTAATGGCCCATGTAATTCACTTCATTGCCTTATTCTTTTCTGATTACTTTTTCCACTTTTGTTTGTGCTTCTTTTGATGCTGCAAATCTCATAAATAGCATCTTTTCATATTTATTTATTTTCTGCTTCTTGTTGATTACAATTTCTCCTTATTCTGTTGATGATTCATTAGCTGATGTATTTTTCTTTATTTTATTTTGCTATATATATCTTATATGTCTGATAGCTGTGTATTTAATGAATTTCAGTATAATGGTTTTTTTTTGAATTATTTTTTTTAGTATTTATTGGTTGATATTTTGAAAAACTATGGAAATTTTAGTTGTATTATTTTATTGTTATTTAACTTAGAGGTGGTATTTTTTTGCGAATTGATTGTGGATGTCGAAAGTCTTTTACGGACTCTTGCACAAATATTATTTGTGATATATTTTTTCTAAAGATGATCTTAGTTTATAGATGTGAATGCTTCTCCATTGGTCGGTCATCCCATGTGATTTTAGGCCTTAGTTTTTTTTATGATTCATTTTGCCTATATGTCTAAAGTTTTTGCCAAAATTTTTTAAGTTTTGAGTATCTTTGAAAATCGTCATGTCATGCATTCATTAATTTTGTTTCTTTCTTAGTGGTGTTGAGAAGTCCTTTTTCTAGATTATTTTTTATTGACAACGCTCAGTTTATTAGTTTTTCTGGCATTTCAGTTTGGTACTTATTACTAGAAACCTATTTTAGAATTTATTACAAATTTTAGAATGTGGTTTTACAATGTTATGAAAGGTGGACCAACGGATGGATAGCATTAAGGGTCTATTCTGAATTTTTTTTTTACTACTTTACCATTCAGACTATTGTTATAATATCTTTTAAAGCTAATTGTAGCTCGAGCTGATGATATTGTTTGAATAATTTGTTGTTTGTGTGTTGTTTGAAACTGAGAAATTGTTTATTATTGATTTGTTTAAATTATTTGTTGTTATTATTTTAACTTAAAAGACTAAAATGCCCCTATATTTTAATGATATCAGATGATCTTTTTTGCTTAATTATATTTTTAATTATCAAATGTTAAATGTCCGGAATAAATATTAATAAAGTATTAAGACCTAATTTAGCATAAAACAAAAAAATATATAAATGAAAAATATTTAAAATATATATCATATAACGCAGGAAACATGATCCGGACGAGCAGATGGAGGCCTGATGATGATGAGATGGAGATGTGATGGTTTTTTGGGCCTTTTTTTATCATTTAAACATGGGAAACAGAAAAAATTTAGAATAACTTGCCTCTAGTAATATAAGAATGAAGTTTTACAGAGACCTTCTCAAGATAAATATGCAGCCAAACAGTTTACAAATACCTCTTCCTCTTTCAAGAACAGAAAATACTGATAAAGCTGTGTCAAAGGAGAAGCCTTAATTGCATATGTAAAATTTGTGCAAACGATTTTACATGAGCTACTGTTAAGAAAACTTGTAGCAGTTTATTAGCATGGATCTTGATGATGATCATTCGATATTACAGGAATCTTCAACCAACGTGCAGTCGTTGAATATCTTGCACTTTTTATTTGCCTTTTTTTTTCACAGGTTAAATGCCTTTGTCTTTTATAATCTAAGGTCTTCTTGTATTGGCTGATCGTAATATTTTCCATCGCGCATTCCTTTTTCCTGTCTTCTTTTTCGGTAATATTTTAATTATTATAGTTTGTATTTATCACTTGATTAAATGAATTATGATGGGTGTGCTATTCAGGTGTCTGACAACTCTTGGGAGCAAATGCTTTGAATGGCTTTTCTGAAAGCTGCTTTGTTGATGTTTGCAAAATCTTTGATGATGCTTCTGCTTGTCTTCTCTGCAGTACGGTTTACTCTGGTTGTTTGGATTCACTATAAGTAGCGTAGTATTTTGAGAACTTTGTTCTATGGAGACTACTCTCTTTTCTTTGCACGTGCCGTTCCTAGTTGCATATTGATGACGTTTTGCATGATTACTAGGTTGTTTTGCTGCTTTTTTTGTTCCAATGTTTGATATTTCTGGTTTCTCTATGAAGGATAAACTTCAAATGTCTGGGGTTGTAATTCTAGTAATTATATGCATTAATGTTTTGTCGTGTGACTTGCCTACCAAATGGGACCATGTTTCCTACATTTGGTAAAATGTTATCTGATTTGGTATTTGTGACCTTGTCTTATCCTGTGCTTGGAATACTGTGAAACTTTGTTTGTTATTACGCTTCCTCCAATGAAATTTAAATTCCTTGCTTGCTGATTTATCAGGAAGTTTTGGATCTTTCTGGCAATTTCGTCTTTTATTTTTTTTTAATGTCAAGTAAATTGTGTTGATGTTTAGTAAAATTATGTTTAAGGGAGCTGTGAGTTCTGATTTTCTGGTATGAAATTGTTGTGGCTTTGTTATGAAATGTTTGAACGACAAATATGCTATTATATGATATCCTATTTTTAATTTGTATATATTTGATTAAAAATTAGGATTATTTAATTATGTAAACAGTAAATTGTATTGATGTTTAGTAAAATTAGGTTTAAGGGAGCTGTAGGAGTTCTGGTTTTCAGGTATGTAAATGTTGTAGCTTTGTTATGAAGTGTTTGAATGTCTAATATGCTCTAATATGTTATTCTACTTTAAATTTGTATATATTTGATTAAAAATTAGGATTAATTTATTAAATGAACAAGCAAAAAACTATCAGATCTTTTATTGGAGAAGCTATCTAAAATATGTCTAAGAAAGCTAAGTCAACTTTTATACAATAATTTGTTTTTTAGTTTCTCAAAACTATTTTTTCAATGCTCTAAAATAGCTTTTACAGTTGAAGCATAAACAGGTACTGGAAGGCTATTGCTAAATAGAACTTGTTTATTTATTTTGCTTTCTCCAATGTTTGGAAATGTTGATCGCTTTAACCTGTATTAATTGTGTAGTTTAGGTTTCGGTTATTTCTTATTTTATGCTTTTATTTTTTCTCTAATGAAATTGAATAATATGATATACCAAAGTGGCCTGCATCTTTCTTCCAATTTGCATTGAGAGTAAGAGATGAGCATGGTAACTGCAGTTTTGAACTGTCTTCCACTTCATTTGCATGCTTTCTTATTCTCCTTTGTTTGGACAATGAGAGGTGTGACATTGGAGTTTTATATCTTCACATTTATATAGAGAAATGGAGTGCTCTTCTTAGTTAACTGAGTCTGGCCTTTCTAAATCATGCCTTTCATGACCAAGGGACTGAGAGTCAGAGAAATGCTTTTTAGATGTGTTGTTTTTTGCATCTGTTGCATGTCCATCCAAATCGCTTAGCACTTCCTACTATTTGAACCGCCATGAATCTTGGATTTATCACTAAGGTAAATATTGTAAGCTTTCTAGTCGTGACTGCTGTTTTGAGGCTACAATTCTTCTCATACTTTGACATACCAGAGCAGTGATTTTTTTTTTTTTTTTGCTTGGCATTTACATACATAGCACACAATTCTAATGCATTTACATATCTCATACCTAAACTTTCATATTTACACACAGAGTATCATATAAAAAATGGCACCATATTACCACTTCTTAAAAGTGGTATACACATTTTCATGCATTGGTTCAAAGCACCTAAGTGTTGTGTGTGTGTAAATATGAATGTTTTGGTGTGGGACAAATAAATGCATGAGAATTGTATGCTAGGTATGTAAATTTTCCTTTTTATGGTTTATTTTATTTGGGTAATTGAGTTTGGTATGAGCTCGACCAAAGTTGTAATTAGGCTGTATGTATTCTGGCCCCAGATTAAGGCTTAGGCTTGTCTTTGAACATGCCAAGTAGCTGAATTTAGTAGAACCATTTTAGGAGATAGGTAGCCCCTCTTTGATATTCTCTGTTTCTTATCCCAGGCCCTCCTTGTTTCCCTTTTGTGCCTTGTCAAGGCAAATTTTCTGGTTGTCTTCTGCATGAGATTACTGTAAGTATATTAGGGGTGGGGCCTAGTTCATATAATTATCCCTCAACATTACGTACTACCATCCCGTGGGAACTTTTTGCACTAAATAAATTCTAGATCCTGTTTTGGAGACATCCGCACAGTAACACCTTAGATGCTGAGTAAACTGGCACATTGAATCTCTGTTTGGTTCTGTTTCTGTATTAGCTGGTTATTCATTAAAATGGCAAAATGAATCATAAGCGAAGTAAATGAAGCATGGTGATGCTTCATAACTAAATGAAATATGTAAACATGAAGAATTAAAACTACCTCACTTTGGCTGATAAGTTAAATTAAAATTGCAAGTTATGGATTATGCAACGTTTGTGTGCATGAATATTGAATGATCAAAGATGATACTTTGAAAGAACTTGGAATAAAATATTGATGAGGTTCTTGTACGAGCTCAAAAAAGCATCTTGCATGGTTATTACTTTTCAATTTTCGAAGTCTTGCTAGAGTGCTTCACATTTGTGCTCTTTTAACCTTGACTGCGAGATACTGCACTTTTATTATTACTTTGCAATTTTGGCATGGCTTAATTGTTATTTTATGTAAGCTATATTATTATTCATTGAAACTTCCATAGTAGGTGGTTTTTTCTTTTTCTAGGTTGCAATTAGGTCCTAAGATCATTATAATTATGATTATTAACGTTTGTAATAGTTTCAGATAAAATACTTTAAGAATTTTATCCATTTTTCAGTTGTGAAAATTGGACTCTTAGTGATGAATCATGATTTCTTCCGCTAATGCACTGGACAAATATAGTGCTAATATTATCGCGTTGAATTAATCAATTGTAAGTAAAACTCTTAAGTCGAAATATTATTCATTGAAACCTGTTTGATGCAGATTTGCAACTAGAATAAGCCTGTGTTTATGCAAAATTATATCGCTTTATTTTTCTTTGGAACATTTAGATGCATAGCGCACAATTCTGATGTATTTGCATATCTAAACCTAAGCTTTCATATTTATGCCCAGCTTTCATACCATTAATATCACATAAAACTATCACAAGTATCATTTTTTTTAATAGAAGCATACGTAGGTTTTAAATACTGAAGTGCTAAATACATAAGAATTGTGTGCTATGGATGTGAACGTACCCACCTTTTTTTTTTTTTCTTCCAATTTGAGCTAAGACCATTAATCTAGTCTAAGAATATGCTGTTAGGCTATTTACTCCATCCTTAAACTTCCATAATGAATAATTAATTATTCATAACATGCTCATATTAAGTATTTTGCTAATGTTTATATTACCATTAAAACTGTAAGACGATTGTTTTTATACCAAACCTTAATATAAAAAATAAAAAGGGCATTTACATACATACCACCAAATTTTCATGTGTTAACATGTCTAACATTAATTTTTCGCTTTTTACATTTGTACCTATATATATATATA